TACAAGACCTGACGTGCGAAGATGGGATTTTTTCCTGGGAAAATTTTGAATCTTTCACGATACAATATCGTTTATTCGTAAAATCGGTTAAGAACCTGATAAGCAGGTATTATCACCATTACCATTACTTTATTTAATTTTTAATTTTATTATATTATTATTATTGTTTAAATTTGCATGTGCAAATTCAAATATTTTTGAATTTCTTGAAGGTCATTAATAAAAAGAGGAGCGATCCCGCTGGGTGAATGGCATGCTTTTCCTCAGAGTTCACAAAAAGTTTACGAAAGGTAAGGTACAAAATTTAAAAATTGAAGAAGAGTTCATCATTATTAACATCGCTATTTCTTTTTATCGAACAGTATACTGTGTTGTAAATATAATGTACATTTGGCATCCACTAATTTAGTTGTTCAGCCAATTGTAAAATATCAAAGTGTACGTCCTTTAGAACCTAGTGACATGGAATCACTGGATAATACACAGGCAGTACTAGCACCTTCTGGTTTAAAGGCGAAATTATTATCTATCAAACGTTATAGTGACGAGGATGTATCAGTAATCTTGAGTGAGTTCAAGACATTTTTTAATATCGACACCGTAAAGAAATCGGAAGCAGATAGCTCGTATTTACCTCCCTTAGTTCAAGTATCAATAACTCATGAAACAATGACAAGGGAGTTTCCCTATCCGTCGCAGTGTATATACATAGTCACTGAAGGCAATATAAGTTATCATCGTGGAATCCAAGATTTCGGGATGGGCCCCGTATTATGGGAAAATTTGGGAGATAGTTTTACTAATAGTACATTATCGAAGGAACGCTATTTAGTAAATAATAAATCAAACATCGTTGATTGGTGGAATTATAATGATCCACTTCGCGAAATTGTAATAATGCAGAGACACTTACAAGATTTGAGCGCATCGTCACCGGTTGGTCCAGAAACTACGATGACACCGAATACTCCTGGAATGATTAATGGACCTTCAAGCGCGAGTTCTCCTGGACATCCATTGACACCTGCGTCCAGATCCAAAAAGAGACCAATGGGAGAGACCAAGGCTTATCCATCACCACCTGATGTAATTCAACCTACATCAACCGAAGCAGTTATGTCATCAGCAATCAGTGAAGATTTGATTCCCATGACTGACGAAATGATGGGAATTATCGAAACAGATTATGAGACTCAAGAATATGATGACTTCATTGAACTAAACGAAGAGGTAACCGAGGATGACTTTAAGAACTTTGACGCTAGTGAGGTATTTTTACTATTATCATTATTAATATTATTACTATAATAGAGACTCATTTCTTTGGCCTTTATGACCAGTGAAATAGACGTTTTAACGATATAATTTTGATTGCCTTAGCCTCCTCCTCCACAGACCACGACTTCGTTGAATTATTTAACTCCTGCTCCCGAACCTCCGTTATCATTAGTAACCGAACCTATTTCTACCCAGTCCATGAGTCCTCCAAAGATGAAAAATTATATTAATATAAGTCTTGAATATGAATATGATAGAAACGCCAATCCGTTAATTCCATCGGATTATGTACCCTTGAAATTTTCTAGTCATGTTGACGAAAAAAAATACCTTCAAGGGGGAAAATTTTACCAGCCCCATAGTCGAAAAAAACGAAAGAGAGGAAAACTAGTATATATATATGGTCCAGATAAACCATCTCCTTTGCCCGGTTCTAAAAAGCAGAAGGGTGCGAAGAAACTGATAGTCAAGAAAGAAATTTCTGATGAATCTGAGGAAAGCTCAGATTATAGTAGCGATTCGGGAAGCTCAACGTCCTCCGAATCAGATTACGATGGAGATGCCTCCATGGATCAAAATAATCAAAGCACGATTATCGAATCAAATTATGGTAGCGATGTTGCCGCAAGTGTAAATTCTCGTAACTTGGAATTTATAAATGCTGGACGCTTAACAATGATATTCGATCTAAATGATCTCCACGGTAGACGCCAACTTCGTATAGTAAACGAATCAGAATCAAAAGAAAGCTCAGAAACTGCTCTCAAATGCCTGAGCGAACAAATAGTATTGGGTTCTTACCCATTTGGCGTTGGTACTAGTGGAGAAGGGGAGAGTACACATGAACTGCTCGAATCTCACAGATGCCTTATGGAGAAATTGAGTGGTGGTATGTTTTTGTTAAAGTCTTTTTTCTTGGCAGTGCTTTTCTTTGTTTTTTTTTTTTGAGAAACCTAAAATGTGGAAATAATATAATTTTTAAAGAACTCCCTACAGCGTCAGTGCTTCCGTTTGAGATGGGTAAAGTCATCACCGATTGCAAAGCTACCTTGGATAGCATTTCGAACAGGTTTCCTAAGTCGCAAGGTCACTTGGATTTGTCTGTCAATGGGCCGCTCACAGTTCAGAAATATTACAATCTTGATGGTACGTCAAAACAACTTGTTGACCTCTATTGGCAAGTTGTATAGTGTTTCAAGTATGTTAATTCTTAGTTGTATTCGTCATAACAGGGAATCAGGATCGAGAAATGAAGGATGTGGAAGAATCAGGGCTCAATTTTCAAGAATTCTCTACGCCTGATATCATCGCGAGTTCTAATGATCTGTTAATTGAGACATCGCCTGAAATTGTTAAATTTTGGGATATTCATAAGCTAACACCGTATGATGGCGCAAAAAATGTGAAGTATTTTGTTCTCTATCCGGAGTCAGATCATCTACGACACTACGTTGAATATTTTATAGACGAGCTACGCGTTCAGTACGAGGTAACAAAATGCGATGTTTGAGATTGTTTCTGAATTAAAGAAAGAGTATGTTCTAAAAGTTTCGTGTTCACTTAACAGCATCTTTGTGCCCTTGGAACTCATGAACCCGTAACGATGGGCAGTTATACTCGTGGTCTCGTGCCGATACCCTTAAAAGGTAATAATTATTGATCCGTTGATGTTTCTGAAGTAGGATATGTTAGGTTTTTACGGTTTCGAGCAAAAAAAAAAATAGATAAATAATTAAAATGAAAATAAATTCCTGCAATCTAGTGCCTTCTCCGAATGAGTCAACCCTAGCACTGCAAATCCACAGTTACGAAAACGCATGTGAGCGACTCGGTGAGTTTAAATATTCAAACTGTACCTTCTCTTTTTCATTTTGTAAAACTCTAAATTTATTTTAAATTTAGGCAAATTATTAATCAAATTTGTGGAAAAACTTGAAGACAATTGCCTTGTGATTTATTTAGTCAACCCTTGGAGTCATTTGTCTTCTAATTTTGACATATTTATGTGCTTCTCAAAATTGCATCAGTCTTTGATAAAAAACAATTCTAACTCGAAGTTCATATATCCGCAAGTTATACCGATTGATCATATTCTAAAATTTGGTAAAACCAGTGGAGGATTGTTTAAGAGCAAGTCTTTACTTAAGGAATTAGCATTTACTGTGTATACCAAGTCACTGGTAAGAATCACGACAAAAAAAAACACCTTTTTACTCTTTAAGTTCTGAAACAATAAATTAATGTACATTCTGTTTTTCCTTAGAATTATAGAGCACCTTTTATTTTACCAAAACCTTCAATAGTTTCCGTTAATTTTAGGTGGACAAAGAAATCGTCTTCTGTCAAAGACCTCATTATCTACGATACCGTCCTACAGATGTCCTATGGGTATAGCTTTGATCATCGTCGTTTGTTTATCGTTTGGGTGGATATGCAGGGCAAGCATGTTGGCAGTGATGCAATACCGACAATTACTCTTTCTTCAGCCATCAAAAGACCAATTCCTAAAAGGACTTTATTTACGGATGTGTGGAACAGAACACTCAATTTCAGTCAGAGAGTTATGGGAGGATGCCGGAAAACGATTATCACAAAACTTGGGATAATGACCAAAGAAGAAAAAGACTGTGAGTGTTTATACATCCTTTGGAAAGTCATATTTCCTCGGCTGACCTTGAACCTTTTATCATTTAGTATGGCTAGAGATCACAGAGAAAAAAATTCCCATCTTGGCGATTAATATCGAATCATCGTTATCGATAGATCCTACCACAATCAAGGTAGCAAA